TTTAAGAACTAAAAATGATGTTTAATCATCATTAAATACCATGTAAATTTTATAAAAAAAAATTGTGTCTCAACTATTTTTCAATTTAATTTACAATCTACTTGATATCATTTGATTATGTGTCAAGGATTTGTGTTACTCCTGTCTCACAATAATGGTTATATATGATATTCATGTTAGTGCATACCTCTGCAAGAACCATGAGGAAAACTCTATCACCGACAACCGAGTAGGTGGTATTTTTGACATCTGCTCCTTCCTCATGGAGAATACGAATGATCTCGTAGAAAATGAATTGATCCTCCAACCCAATTGTCAAGAAGATTTGAAGACCAGAACCTATTTCATGAACCTTAATTTGAGGAGATCTTGAGCTCGAAATTGAATCCGAACCTTTACCAATGCAACCGTGAGATCTTTTTCTTCCCAGTAATTTCTCCTTCTTCGCCTCGCATTCTTTCAGCCTTTTCTGCAGACTCTTTATGTAATTCACAGCTTCATCTACCTGATCGAGTACCGACAATGGTTCCTGTGTAAATGTAGACATACGGTAATCAACAAAAACATTTTTGCATCCTTTTCAAAGAAGCAAATTAAGAATAAAGAAATCATCTGGGTTCGAGATAATATAGAAATTGGCTTCAATAAAGTTCTTCCCTGCCAATTTGGGAATGAAAAAAAAAAAAAAACTTTTACTACATTTGAATTTAGATGTTCACTTTAAAAGGTATTTCAAGTAGTTAAAAATATGATATTTTAAGTTAAAAATTGTAAATTTAAAATTTGAGATAAGTAGGAAAAAATTAAAAAAATGAGAATTCTCCTATTTTATAGTCTATTATTTGATATATAAAGAAATTATAAATATGTATATAAAAGAATATATTTTTCTCAATTTCAATCCAACAAGCAATTTCACTTCAATATGAAAAACCACATCCCTAAACAAATCTTAAATAATTAGGTAATTCATACATCTTACAAGTGTACATATCTCCTAATGTTGATTATGGTGACGTCCTATATTTAGATATGAGATAATCCCACCTAATGATCTAAGTAATTCAAACAAACATATTGAAAATAGGTATTTGGGGCAATGGCTAAAACTTTAAATGTAATTCGTTTTGGGTTTAAATGTGTAATTCTTCACTTTCTACCATTTTCTTTATAGGTTAAATTATTTATCTTATTTTTCAATTAAAAAATACTAAAAAAAAAAAAGAAAGAAGTTAATTACCTTGGTGATTCGTTGTGGGATGAGCGAATTGAGCGTGGAATACAAATTCTTCATTTTGTTTCTTCTATTCTTCTCAATGATCTTTCTCTCAATCTTTCTTGGTGAAGAATGCCTTATTTTCCCCTTGTCTTTGATCCCTTCCATTTTGTCAACGACAAATCCTGGCATGTCCATACTGGAAGAAGCTAGATATATAGGGGCATCGTCATTACTTTGGGATTGGGTGTTCACATATATAAAGCATCTTCGGCGCCCACTTTTTTGAAAGATAAAAAGTTAAAGTGGGGTTGACGGAAGACGTGATGTGGAGGAGGAATGATGGAAAACGAAGGACGTCACTTGAGCGACGTCAGCCATTATCTCTCGCGGGCATCAATTTGGACGAAATTGCAGTTTTAACACGAGTCCATTTGCCACCTACTTTTTCCTAGAAGGAGCATTTGGAACGGAATTACAGTTTTGACCTGAGTCCTTTCCAGTTTACGGCACATAATAATGTAACTATAAATAATTCTTCTAAGTAAAATTT